TATATATATATATATATATATATAGGAAGTTTGTACAAGTTTATGTATGAATCCACATCCATGTTTATAAAATGAAGGATGTTAGTTCTAGTTAATTAGTTTTCTTCACATGCGTTGGCACAATCTGTTACGTTTTTGTTTTACGTTTTTGTTTTACTTTTATTAAAATGAAGGATGTTAAAGCTAAAATCAAGATTTTACGTAAAATCGAAAGGGAAATAAAAAATCGTAAAACGTAAAATTGTAACGTAAAAAATTGTAAAAACGTAAAAGCATTTGAAATATTAGTAAAATCGTTTTGATGAAAAGAATTCATAAAAACGTAAAATCGTAGTGATAAATCGAGATTTTAACTACTATGGATCAGTTTGTCCAAAAAATAAATTAATTTTTATATAAATAAAAATTTCCAATATTTTAAAAATTAATATATTAAAAAATTAATTTTTATTTTACTATACTAATATTGAAATAATATATTAATTCTTGATAATTACACTAGTCAACAATGTTAATACATTAACCCTTTATAATCCCACCTCTTTAAACTTGATTAAGTTATACATCGTTTTGATGTATTAGGGTATATTTGGTACATAGTATAGGATAAGGCCTGATAGTATCAGACCTGATTGTATAAGACCTGATTAAATTTTAATACTATCCAGCGTGTGCCATGATATTATATAAGATAATATATTGTATAAGATAATATCATTCAATGTTTGGTAATACATTGTATAATACTAGATAGGTGAAAAATAAATATTGTTGTCAAAAATACTTTTAAATAATGAATTTATATAATTCTTCCAAATATATTAGATGATATTATTTTTTATAGAAATATGTTGATCAGTGTGTCCAAAAAATATGTTAATTTTTATAAAAATCTCCAATATTTTAAAAAATTATATGATGAAAAATTATTTTTTATTTTAATATATTAATTCTTGAGAATTGCATTGGTTAATACACTAACCCCAATCAGGCCTAATCCTACCCTCCTAGGCCTGATTAAATTATACATCATTTTAATGTAAAAAATGATCTTGTTGTATAAGCTTATACTATACGATATTACGATGGTCACATCAAACAACTAAAAATGTCATAAGGTACAGTATAGTATAGTATATTATAGTATAGTATAAGTTTATACTATCAGGTCTTACACATCAGACCAAACAGACTCTTAAAGGTTTATGCTGTATAAGCTTATACTATATTATGTTCATACCAAACAACTTAAAATGTTATAATGTATAGTATAAGCTTATCATGTTAGACTTTATAAATCACACGACCTTATAAATCACACCAAAGAGCCGCTAGGGTACCGAAGGACTTTAATAAAGAGCCAACTTGCATGGGAGCCAAAGCGACATATCATTCAATGCTGAACCATTGGCGCGTTGATTTTTTTCGGCGGTGGTTTTTTCTTTGTTAACGCATAGGCTTTGATACATTTGACCCTATACCAATAGAAAGAAGTTGAAACAATTTGCACCCAATTTTATCCCCAAATGGCCTAATCCAAAGAAATTGTTGACCCCATAATGCTTAACTTTTATTAATTGCAAGTAAGTGGTGACAATAAATTGATCTGAATAAAAATATAATGAATCTTCTACATGATATACATCTTCATGCTTTTGCAAAACTAGAAATTAAAACTTCCTAGTAGTTTTCTATCATAGGAAGTTAGGAACATCAATAGTATTTACATCCATTTTTGCACCTTTGGTTCTCTCTTTTTCTACTCTAAGACCATCTAGAATCTTCTGTAATTCTTGAGGCCTACAAGGGACTGCAAGAGTTCCTTGCTGTCTGAAACCATATTCTTCCTGAGCTTGTTCCAGCAATTAATCCCATGAATGCAGGATCAGTCAAGTACTCTAACTCAACAATGAACTTTTTGGTTTCTCCATCCTTGATTGCAATAACAGCAAAATATCCTTTACTAACATCATCCGGGATCACATTTTCGGCTTCTAGTATATATTTTCATTGAAGTAGTTAAGTTCAGGTCTTCGGGGTACAATTAGGGAGAGACCCTTTTGTATCTTCTCAACAATAGACCAAAGCATCTTGAACTGTGTCCTAATTTTTTCCTGATGAAGGATAGTGAATTAGTGAACTTGAAAGGTTGTGAATTTTGAGCATGGAAGTATCTATATGCAGAGTTTGGCTATTTATATTGAGATAATGCAGAAACACACACGAAATTTCTTGAATGTCGGTGCGAGACCACTTGCAATTATTGGACGGGTCAAGATCTTAAACCATTGGGATAGTATCAAAACCGAATAGGAAGGGAAAGGAATGCCGTGTGATGCTTCATGACTTGTAAATATCATTGTTACCTAATTAGCTTCTATTCTGCTTGTAATTGACGGTGGCGTTGATATATATGTTATTATTTATTTTGTTATCATTATCTGCAACATGTGATTGAGCTTGAAGGGTGGACAATGTACAGGCTCACATACCTATGCAAACAAAGAAATTCTACTTGAAAGAAAGTGGGAGGCGGCGAGGATCGAACCCGAGACACGAGACTCTGATACCTTGTAAAGAACTTTGGGATACACCACCCCAAAAGCTAGCTCAAAGGGTGGGAGTGCCCAAGGCCTTATAAAGGCCACATATATCTCAGCACGCCCTCACACACAAGAGCCCATTGGGCTTGAAGAGTGGATGATGCAACAGGCCCAGCCTACCTGTGCTAAGAAGTTCCACAAAAGAAAGTCACGGCGAGGCTCTGATACCATGTAAAGAACTTTGGGATACACCACCCCAAAAGCTAGCTCAAAGGGCGGGAGTGTCCAAGGCCACATATATCTCAACATACCTTGATAAGAATCTTTGGATACACCACCCAAAAGCTGCTAGCTCAAAGGGTGGGAGTGCCCAAGACCTTATAAACTACACATTAGTTACACATACAACCAATGTGGGACTATATATCTCAACACGCCTCCTCACACAAGAACCCATTGGGCTTGAAGAGTGGAAGATGCAACAGGCACAACCTACCTGTGCTAAGAAAGTCCACAAGAGAAAGTGGGGGGCGGCAAGGCTCTGATACCATGTAAAGAACCTTGGGATACACCACCCCAAAAGCTAGCTCAAAGGGTGGGAGTGCCCAAGGCCTTATAAACCTCACATTAGTTGCCCATACAACCAATGTGAGACTATATTTCTCAACACGTCCCCTCACACGAGAGCCCACTGGGCTTGAAGAGTGGACAACATACAAGCCCACCTACATGTGAAAATTCCACTACAAAGAAAGTGGGAGGCGGTGAGATTTCGAAAGTGATACCATGTTAAGAACCTTGAGATACACCACCCCAAAAGTTAGCTCAAAGGATGGGAGTGCCCAAGGCCTTATAAACCTCACATTAGTTGCCCATACAACCAATGTGGGACTATATTTCTCAACACGCCCCCTCACACGAGAGCACACTGGGCTTGAAGGGTGGACAGCATACAAGCCCACCTACATGTGGAAATTTCACTACAAAGAAAGTGGGAGGCGGTGAGATTTTGAACGTGATACCATGTTAAGAACCTTGAGATACACCACCCCAAAAGCTAGCCGAAGGCCTTATAAACTCCACATTAGTTGCACATACAACCAATGTGAGACTATATATCTCAACACGCCACCTCTCACGAGAGCCCATTGGGCTTGAAGAGTGGAAGATGCAACAGGCACAGGCTACCTGTGCTAAGAAAGTCCACAAGAGAAAGTGGGGGGGCGGCGAGGCTCTGAAACCATGTAAAGAACCAATTCGACCCAAAAACATAAGCTGGTGGGTGAGGGCTTTTTAATGATTATATATATATGAATAGTTATCATTATCTGCAACACTACAATGTGATTGGGGTCTACAGCTAGCAAAACGCTTTCATTATACATATGGGGAGTAGGGGCCTGGGGACAAGTTTGTGACTGCAATATATAGTGCATAACTGCATACATAGATCCGTGTAATATATAGTACAGTGCTTGAAATGATCTATCCTTCTCAGTTGAACATTTTTACTTAATAATAATTATTATATCATCATCATTGATATGTTGTGTAGTTGAGTTGGGTCTCTAGTATCACGCTACGTGGATGATTTTTGGATTGAATTAGTTCTTTATAAACAATCATCATACTCAAACCACGGCTTCAAATAAGTTCATAATAAGGTAGAATAAAAACATAATAAATAGATTGCCTTTATTCCAGGAAGTAAGGAATACCCTTCTTCCTCGAAACTTTTTTGCCAAAAAAATGTTTAAACAAAATAAACATAATATATACTTCTTCATTGTGCCAAAAAAAATGATAGTTTCTACCAGTTAATCTCATGGAAACCTTAAACGGTTTCTTTAAGTATTTAATGTAACTAATTCAGAGGGGAGAATCCGGAATACATCAAAAACATAATAAATAAAAAGTATCTTTCTACAACTGGTGGTAAGGAAAACAAATCTTACAAAGTAAAGAAAGAGAAGAAAAACGACAAAAGGAAACGAAAAAAAATCATGGAGTATTTGTCTAAATTTTCTCCAACATAGATGGAGAAGCATTCCCGAAATATCTTGATATTTTTAGGCAAATTATTCTTGACTATTAATCGACCTGTATCTTTTTTTTATATATATATTAATCGAATTGTATCTAATTATTCATATAATCACAAAAATTTGAGTTGTTAATTATAAGTTAGATAATAGTTAAGATTAAAACACTTGTATGAATTGATCCTGACCCAAAATAAAAATTATTACATAAAAGATAAATTAATTAATTATAAGTAACAATAAATTGACTAAAAAGTATAAGGAATCATCTATGTATCCATCTTGAAGCAGTAGCGAAAGGATTAATTAATTATAGCTAGAAATTAAAACTTCCTAGTAGTTTTCTATCGTAGGAAGTTAGGAACATTAATAATATTCGTATCCCTTTCTGCACCTTAATTTGTTTCTCTCTTTTCTACTCTCTGAGACCATCTAGAATCTTTTGTAATTCTTGAGGTCGACAAGGGACAGCAAGAACTCCCTGTTGTCCGAAACCATACTCTTCCTGAGCTTGGTCGAGTAGTCCCAAGAATGAAGGATCAGTCAAGTAGTTTAACTCAACAATGAACCTTTTGGTTTCTCCATCCTTAGTTGCAAGAACAACAAAATATCCTTCCCTAACATCATCTGGCACCATAGTTGTGGCTTCCACAAGATCTTCATTGAAGTACCTTAGTTCAGGCCTTCTGTGTACAAAGAGTGAAAGACCCTTTTGTATCTTCCTAACAAATGACCTAAGCATATCTTGAAGTCTTTATGCTAATTTCTCCTTCTTGATAGGATAGTAAATTAGTGATCTTGAAAGCTTCTGAATTTTGAGCTTGTGGTCTCTATATGCTGAGTATGGCTATTTATATACTGAGAACATGTTGGAAGGCACACGAAACTGATTTCTTAAAACGTGTCGAAAAGATCATTATCCCTATTAGGGTGGGAAAGGGTTTCCGTGTGATGCTTCATGACTTGTATCATTTATTCACCCTTATTCTGCTTGGAGTTTATCGATACGATCATGCATTAGCAATATGTATTTGACACATTCGCAGGTATCTTTTGATATATGTATGTCAAGCCATGAATCCTATTAAGTAATGACTGGAATGATTTGGAGGCTGTCAATTGGTAATACGAATTAGAAAGGATCATGTTCCGAATGGCCCAATTTCACGCAGCCCAGTGACTTGAGCCCAAGCCTTTACCCTTCCTTCACGTCAGCCCTACCAACCCCCCATACATCCTGCCCCAAGGCGGCTGCACTCCCTAGGAGAGACACATAAATGTCTTACCTTGGGATCTGATTTTCCTAGGAGACCGCCCCAGACACCTTAAATAGTAACCTCCACCGTCATTCACTGACATCGCTGAAGCAGGGGCTGCATCACTGCTATCAAAGCAGTGTCAGCCACCCCCAACTGATCTCAAGGAGGGTTGACCCCCTCTTACCAACCCACGCGGGGTAGGGATCTGATCCTCCTATAAATCCTTCCCCCACACACAAAGAGAGGCATCTTATGTATCGTGATTCTGCCCATAATCCTTGAGTAACATACACACATACCCCCCCCCCCCCCCAATTATCATCTGTTAGCATTCATACTTGGGATAGTGCTTCCTAGCTTGGTCTTAACCTGTGCTAGACGTATAACTCATACAGTGACTCTATCCCTAAAGAGAACATAGTGAGCTTATAGATCCCAACGGTACAGAACACAAGGTTGGAAAGCTTTGAATTGGATTTTATTTAGTCTAATCTCTTAAGCCTCGACACATGGATGGATGGTTAAATTCTCTCGGTTAGATGCTACATGATATTAGTTAAAATTTATTAATTGTTCAATTGTTAAAGGACGTGGATGAGTAGGTTGTCCTTAGATGGGTCACTTAAAATGAATCAAGAAATCGGCCTGACTATTAGGAGTGTGGATTGGTTGAATTGAACCGAATTTTTTAAAAAATCGAATCGAATTAGTTTAAATGGTTCAGTTTGGTTCAAAATCGATTTGGATCGGTTTGAAAACTGCTCGGTTCAGTTCGAAACCGGTTCACGTCGACCTTATTCTGAAAAGAAAAAATAATATTTTTTCTTAAAACAAATAAAGTAATAAAAATCGGTTCGGTTCGATTCGAAAACAGTTCGGTTCTTGAACTGGTTTTAAAAACTGGTTCGGTTCATGAACTAGTTCTTTAAAAATCAGTTAAGTTCATGAACTAATTCTTTAAAAGCTGATTATTTTAAATACAATTTGGTTCAATTCAGCCTTTTGGTTATTTTGCACATAACCGTGACTATTTAATAACTAAAGTGGGGGGACATAAGTTGGAATATGTAAGAACTCGCACCGTTAATTAAGGAAGTTAATTAATTAACTATGTGAAATTAGAAAATAATTCCATGATTGACCCTAATAATTATTATGAGGCTTAAATAAATATAGAAAGTAATTAATAATGCTGAAAGTCACTTTTCTGGCGAAAAGTGCAGATACCGGTTCTGCTACTCGGTATAAATGCGTATCGGTGAAGTATCTCAGAAAATTATAATAAGTGCATGAATATTCCTAGAATAATATATAGGACTTGTAAAACAAGTTTGAAGTCAAAATAATGAGAATTGGTATCGGAACTAATACTGTCAGTGTTAAAATGCGTACCGAAAAAGTGTTGCGAAAAATTAATATAAAAATATAAAAAATCCTAGAAAAATTGCTAGGTTCAGAATCCCAAGTTTGAGATTAAAATGTTGAGCGTAGCAATTAATTTTAATATTGTGTGTTTAATTGTTAAGTGACTATATATATGCATTTTAGCACAAAACCCTAGGCATTCAGTTTTTCCTACGTGACCTTGAGGGTGGCTGACCAGCCTTGTGCACTGTTTCATTTCCTCTTCACCATTTTTGGGAGTTTTGTGACCTTTTCTTCCATTTCTTTTTCTCCTTTGATGAGCAAACACTTGGGTGTGTGATTGGGAGTGGGTGTGAGACCTTGTTCTGAGTTTTGGCCACTGGTTTGTGGGGTTTTGTGGGCTGAGTTGCTGAGTTTTCCTTGGAAAGGCCATTATCATGGCATTTGGTACTTCAAAGTGTGATCTTTAAAGAGAAAGAACCCACCTTGTGTTGTATTTTCGTGATTCCTTAAAGTCAGCATCTTTGAGCCTTGTTGGAGAGCTCCAAGAGCCTTCTTTGTTGCTGAGTTTGGACCCCATTGATATACCTTGAACTTCCCTTCAATTTTTATATGAAAATAGCTTGTTTATGTTATGAAATAAGATAACTTTAATCATTCAAGCTTAGGGTTGTTAATCTAAGGCTAATAAGTGTTAATGAATATATGTTTTGGGTCAAAACCGAACCTTGGGTCATTGAGTGACATTTTTGCTTCGGATTGTGCAGAAAAATTCTACAGAAAACTGTTCTGCCCGCGTGGTAAACGATTACTTTTGGTTGGTAATCGATTACCATGTGCAATAATCGATTACCTTGCTAGTGGTAATCGATTACCATGTGCAGTAATCGATTACCACCTGTGAAAATGACCAAAAACCAGTTTTATGCGTGGGTTAGTCCCCTTTTGGGCATGATGGCCTAAGAAGTTTGTATTACTGTTGGAAAACAATGATACCTTTAATTGAGGGACTTAATGCTTGATAATTATGAACTAGAAAAGATGTAATCGATTAAGGAAATGTTGTCATAATGACATAAACCTTTAAAGTATGGTTATTGATGTTACTTCTGATATAAACAGATTGTGATTGTGTTGTTTGTGGGCCTTGAGCTTGTGCGGACTCTTGGCTTGGATAGTTAGCTTGCAAGGTAAGCTTTCGTGTCCTCGGTTTAGCCATGTTGTGGTTCCACTATACCCCATGGGGGAATGGTTTATATGCATGCTGTGTTACATGCTTTGGATATTTTGAAATGCTTTTGAGCTGATATGTGCAATGACTTATAATATGTATGTGTTGTTTCCACTTAGTCGGTAAGCCTGAGTATGTAGCGTCATACAAGATGGTGAGCCCGTGGGTGGGTGCAAGTAGCGTCTTGCATATTGTGTGGGTAATAGACGTATTCCTTCTTTTCTCTGATCAGTAGAATAGAATTGACACACATGACATGATTATCTGTTGCATTGCACTATTTTGGAAATTTTATTGTTAAACTACTTTTGAACTTATATTGCACATGTAAGTGAGCTTGGGTGGAAGATCCTTGAGAACCTCTTGTCTTACTGAAATTTCTTGTTTAGAGATCTCACCCCACGTTTGGGGGGCGCTTATTTCAGGTTCAAGTAATTTGGGGGGTGATGCCTCTGGCGGCAGGAGGCCGGAGCTTAGTTGATGATTATTGTTGTTTATATGCTGACATGTTTGGATGCTGGATCTATCTGCTGATGTTATGCTTTTAGCTTTATTTTATTATGATGCTGTTGTTGAGACTATGTTGGGCTTGTTGCCTTATTTGTGTGAGCATGGGGTTTGTCCATGCCACTTGATGTTAGTACTTTGGGTTGAGTTGTATAAACTGGTAGTTTATCCGGTCTACGTGTTGTAGTTCCGTGACTAAAGACATATTTATGTTGTTTAATTATTGAGGTATTTTAGTTAGCTGTCTTTTGCAATTTACATACAGGCAATGTTTTATTAATTGATTAAGTAAGCAAGTTGGTAATGATTAATGACGTCATAATTGAAAAGAAAAAGATATTTCGCATTTTTTTAATTAAGCACAGCTTAATACGATGATATGATAACATTACCGGATATATACGGGGTGTTACAGAATACATCTCATGATATAATAAAAGAAAAAAAAGGGAAACATATTTGTCATTTTAAATGACATAAGATTATGTCATTTTAAGAGAGAGATAGACACAAAATAATAATTTTTTTATTTAAAATTTAAATTAGAAAAAAAAACCACTCACTTTCTCTCCCATGATTTTCATTCCTTGTGTCTATCTCTCTCTAAAAATGACATAACTTATGTCATTTAAAATGACAAACATCAAATCCAAAAAATAAAGATAAATATTATAGATATATGGGTAGAACTTTTGTTATATTCACTTTTATATGGTATATATGTATGGCATGTCAATAATAATTGGATTGGTAGCATGGACAACATCTTTACTTGTAATCGTGATGACGTGATCAATTTTTTTTCCTAGACTGAAATTATCCAATTGTTGTGATAATATACAATTTCCTTCCACACCTAATTTTATAAAAGATAACGCACGGGTGCACACGAGTGTCACACTTTATGGTATCAGACGGTCTACTGCTAAACACTTTCGGTATACCTTTAGAGAGTGGGGGCCTGGGGACGAGCATGTGGCTGTATATTTGCAGACGTAGATCATGGAAAGAGTACAGTGTTGGACAAAATCAATATTTCTCTCAAATTAAAGAGCATTTTATTCATGCTTTTTTGAATATAGACAACAGCCAGCTTTTCAAAGCTGTACGTGGACATCAATTTTATAATTTTCTTCTCTTGTTATTGCACGAGCTAAATTTCATATTCGTTGTTCCTTATTTTTGTTCCTTGAGGTCCGAATAACGAAAGCTACAAGTCCATCCTTGTATATTACGTAGTTTTCTTAATCACGCATTTTGCAATCAATGAAATGATACAGAAAACGCGAGCTAGCTACCTGCAGCTTTTGGCTGATCCTCATTTTGAATATTTGAATTAGCGTTTTAGATCGTTGAACATAGAATTATGAATATTATGTAGGGATCTGCAAAATAACCAAAAAACTGAACCGAACCATGAACCGAACCGAACCGAACCGAATCAATCTTAAAATAACCGATTTTTAAAAATCAGTTCATGAACCGAATCGGTTTTTAAAGAACCAGTTCATGAATCAAACCGGTTTTTAGAATCAGTTTAAGAACCGAATCACTTTGAACCGAACCGAACCGAACCGTTTTCAAACCGCACCAAAATGATTTTTATAATTTTATTTTTTAAATTTTAAATTTTTTTTCTTTTCAAAAAAGGGTCGACCCGAATCGGTTCCGAACCGAACCACTTCCGAACTGAACCATTTAAACCAATTCGGTTCAGTTTTTCAAAAAATCTGGTTTGGTTCGACCCATGCACATCCCTAATATTATGTGTGCTTCCGGGCTAAAAGGCGAACTATATTAGCCTTTTATTTTAGATATTTTTTAATTTTTTTTTTAATAATGATTGCCTTTTTTAAAATAACAAACATTTTTTCCTAATACTAAAGAGAATGGTTATATTTACAAATTCTTACAAATTACAGTATATACTATGGGTAATACATATTACTTAAGCATGTACTACCCATAATACATAGTATCGTTTATAAAAGTTTGTCAATTTTGAGTTTTAAATAGGGGAAGGATTCGTTTATAAAATTTTTTAACAAATTTTTACAAAATACTATGTACTCCCGAAAGTACATAGTGTAACCTAATGTACTTTCGGGAGTACATAATATAATTTATAAGAATTTGTAAACAAAAAATTTATAAATATAACCCTCCCCTTATAAATATAACCTATCCCAATACTAAATTCTAAGAGATGATGGGCTCACATGCGTTTAAGAATAATGGGCTTTGCCGCATGCAATGAATGTATATTCAACGAGTCATAATTTTATAGTCTGTATTAGTAGCGTGACACTGTTTGATGTGTAAGTTAAAATTATTCCTGAGTTTCAACCTTACGGATTTTAATTTTTAGCCTGCTTCAGCAACCTCAAGAAAGCGGGTCGATTTGAATCTATTAATTTGCATAAGTTCAACAAGTTTCTTTCCGATCTTATGTTAATCGCAGTAAACCGCGCTACATACAAAAACTACGCTAAAAAATACATTCAGCATAATCATATGCATGCTGCACTCATGGGCCTGTGGCTGGAAAACAGAATTGCTTCCATCTCTCCGTCCTTTGTTCACCTATTATCTTCTATAGTCCTTAAGGATAGCACGGAATTAACAGATCTCCCTTCTGTTTGAAGCCACACACTTCTTTCACCCACTCCGCAGTCCTAAAAATGCAACGTTAATGTTGAAAATTTAATACAAAATCATTAATGTATTCAATATAAACTTTTGAGATAATTAGTTCATAGCATACAATCATGGTCCCTCGGCCCAATAATTTAGAGTTCTATGACCACATAATCAATAGTTTTATCATTTATTATCCCAATTCTTCTAGTACAATATTTATATTAACCCAAGATAGATAGGATTTTATATTATCCACCTCAAGTCCAAAGAACTCTTATGCTAAGGATTGTGTTAAAAATGTTAATATAGAATTATTCATTTATCTTTACATGATAATTTAAATTTTTGAGGTAAGTAATTCATGACACTAAGTCAAATAGTGTAATTCAGCCACAAAAAAAAAACCCTTTTGGTTTCCTCACCCATGATAGCAAGAACAGCAAATCCTTCCATAACATCATCTGGCACCAGTATTGCTGAAATACAGATGTTAAATTAGTTAATTCAGATCATTAAGTTAACTTATTTTGTTTCTCTTTTAACTTATTTTCAATTAACATGTCACACTTTTGTGAGAAAAGGGTCCGGAGCTTGTATCATAAGTTGAGTTGCCACAACAATACAGAACTACAGATAAAATCCAATGGCAAATTTGAAGAGCGAAATATAGATCAGTTAGTTCACAGCTGCTGCTGCTACACACCTATAATTTTCCACAGTTAAGAAAAATAAAAAGGAGGGCCTTGCCATTATGGGATCTGGAGAGTGTCAGATATACACAGCTTTAGGATGAAAATCTGAGAACATAAGCTGAACAGGATCTTGCACTCAATTACACTAATAACCATATGGCAGTAAAGAAAACCAAAGCCAGACACCATTCCACGAACCACACAAATAAATCCCAAGGAACCACGAAGTGAATGTTATACAAATATGATGCAGAAAATAAAGAAATAGAACACACACTATTGAAAGAGAGAATCTTTTTCTTTTAATTAATACTTCATCAAACGTGACACGAGCTTCTTATAAGCCAAAAACTAAAACTGAAATAAAGCAAATTAAGAGACACATTCCACCCAAATAAACACTAACTAAATCACTCATTATACTACCAATAACTGCCCCATTACCTGACCAATAAAAAACTCATTACATGACATTATTAAATTTTTTAACTAACAAAGTAATTAGTAGTATGTACACATTTCTTGAAACAAAGTAATTATCGTATACGTACGATGCATCAAGTTAGTCAGAATATGACCGCAGCAAATGAATCAAATCAATATAGTCCTATTAACTGTAGCTAAATATGCAACACTGGTGTATTACATTACATCCCTTCATAATAGATATCATTTCTAACGCCCTAATATCAGTGGTTTACACCACTACACTACTTGCACTCCTAATGCACTCGTAATCATCATTAACTAGCAGTTCCTTGTGATATAATCTAATCATTAACAAGCTACAACAAACTAATCCATGATTGAGTGAAGCAAACGCAACATTCCAGAGAGAACCACATAATACAAAGCAGTTATGTAACTAGGTTAACTAACATTGATTGATTAACGATCGATCAAATAGTTGGTTTGCGTTGGAAACCAGTGCCAGGGTCATCGTCGCCGGGGAAAACCTCAATCCCCGTGACGACGGCATCGGGAGGACCACGGCGACACCTCTGCTCCATTTCCTGAACCGCATCGGTGCTCCCTGAGAACAGAGCCTCCACGGACCCATCCTTTCGGTTGCGCACCCATCCCTTCAGCCCCAACGACGTCGCATTCTCGATGGTCCAGTTCCTGTACCACACTCCCTGCACCCTCCCCTTTATCACCACCCTCTCCTGCACGCACATTCTCTAACCGTCAAAATACATATACAAATTAATAAAATAATTAAAACATTCGATTTTCCCCCTTTTTTTTTTTTAATTACCGTTTTGGTAGAAGACGAGTTCGTGGAGTCCGAGGAAGCAGCTTGAGGCGAGGTCATGGCGGAGAGAGAACGTCCAAGACGAGTGTAACGGAATTGGAAGATTCTAGAAGTAGCGTGGTTGTTCCGATACGCAAGGAATATAGGTCGTGGCTGAATCAGCGAACGCGAGATTGTAACCGTAGCTGATGCCAATGCCATTCGTATTAGTTGAATTGAAGTTTGAAGCATAGTTCTTTTTTTAATTTTTAAAGAATGGTGGATGGCATTGGACTGGGCCGAGAAAAGCCCAAAGTTAAATTGGGCATTTCTGAGCCCATTGTGGGATTAGGATGTACGGAGGGATGAGGAGGAGGTGTGTTTTGAGGGTGTTTATGTCGGCGAAGCACATGACGGCGAACGTGGTGGTGGACGGGAACGACGGGAGGGTGGTGGCGACTGCGTCAACCGTTGAGCACGCGATCAGGAACGCGTTCGAGTGGGGGAGGAGCTGTAACGAGAAGGCGGCGGCGTCCGTCGGGGAGGTGCTGGCGATGCGGCTGAAGACGGAGGAACCGGGGATCGGAGTCCATTTTGACGTTGAGAAGGAGATCGAGAAGAAAGGGCAGGACAGCGGAGCGAGGGTGTGGGCCCTAGTTAATGCTTTGCGGAACAGAGGCGTCAAGGTTGTCACCCACGGTGATCACAGGATAGATTCGTAAATTCATCTTTGTACTTTTATTGTTTTAACATAAATATTTGTAAACAATTTGTAATGATTTCTAAGAGGACGGTTATATTGATAAATTTGTTTTTTTATAAACATACAAATTATATTATGTTTTTGAAAAGGGCTTTATGGATAAGACATAACATAGTTTGTAAGAGTTTGTAAATAAAAAATTTATATATATTTATATCCAAAAAAAATTATAAATATAACATTCCCCGATTTTTAATTATAGAAAAGATTATACTTATTACCAATTAAGTTTATTATTTCTTAATATAAAATTTTAATTGTTGATTTCTTTCAATTTAACGATTATAATTTATAGGAATAAATAATTAATTAATAAATATCATTCAATAAATTTTAACTGTCACAGAAATTAACGATTAAAATAAAATGATAAGAAATAATAAATTTAATTGTTGGTAACTATAATATTCCTCTTTAATTAATTATGAAATCACAAAATGTGATTTTGTATTTCTACAATATATGCCTTGGTTTTCCCCCCTGAAATTTGTAGGTGTTATAAAAATTATTTAAAAAGCGCATTTTAAATTTTTTTACCTTTCCAATGCAAATTTCCTGAGAAAAGCTTTTCAAATTCACGTTCAATCAAAAAAATCATTTATTTTATAAACTAAGGGAAATTAAATAATTTAGGATATCATTCTTACATTACCGGTTGTTACAATAGTATCTCCTACTAGTAGAATAGACTAAATACAGCTCACGGGTGATGGTCGTCAAGCCATTGAACTTTAAACGAGGGAAAGAAGAACATAAAAAATTTGGGAACCTAATTCCAAACCTTATCCACACAACCTACAAAAGTCAAAAATGAAACAAAACATCGTCGTGATTTTCATATAGAAAAGAATTTAGAATTCAAAGCAAGTTTTGCCCATAAAATAGACAAGCTTTAGCATGCGTAACAAATGGAGATTCAAAGATTGAATTGTAGCCGAAGTTGGACGAAGAATTGAGTGGAGTGCACGTGGTTTTTGACCCAGAACAATGTTGGGCTATATTATAAAAGAATTGCACGCTTTGACCATGGGCTTCATCGGAGATTTTTAACAGAAAGGGTGCCCAAAAAGTGTTTTTGTTTAAAAAATGAAAAATGAAAACGGTTTAAAAAGTCGTGAAATGGAAGAGACGTGTTCATGTGAAGGAAAGCCCACTCGTGCGTGGCGTGCAAATTCAAACTCCAACACAGCGCCATGTGTTGTTGACGTGGAATGGGACCCAGCAGGTACCACTGTTGACTAAAATTTGGCTAACCAAATTTTCACGAGTCAAAAAAGGATCAAAGAAAAACAATACCGAAAGAAACCACCTAAACCTTTTTCAAACTCAAACAGTACCAACATTAATGTTCCAAAGCTAGTAGTACTGTACAGTAGTAACTGGTGACGATCCACATGAACATGATCCATCATGGATGTATTCCCATGTCATGCATGTCAATGGATGCATCATGTCATAGACGGAAATGGACCATGATCCATAAGTAGCCGACAATTTTTTATGCGTTTCACAGTCACGGCTGAGTCAGAAATTGGGACCACTTTCGTGAATCGCCTCGAATTTTTATTTTGTATTTTGACAAGGAATGCTATTGGCAAAATCTCCTTTCCAATAAAATATCATTATCTTCAGTTACTGTGAATTAGTTCATCATCAAAATCAGACTTTTTATTTTTAATAGAAAAGAAAAAAACTGTCTTTTTACCAAAAAAAGAATAAACGGATTTTACATAATTGTGCCTGTCGTCCTGTAGGGGGCATAGCCCCAAAAATCCTTGGTGTAATTCACTGTGCACTGAATCTGAATGTCTGTGTGTTCATTACCTAACCCACAACTCCAATTTTAGGTGCATCCATCCCACCATTAATTCGGTGTGATGGATCAATTGAAATGGGATAATTTTTTATGATGTGTGTAATAAAAAGAAAAAAAAAAATAATCCAATCTAATTTGGGACGGATTTTGTGATAAAAATTTTAAATTCCTTTCAAAGATAATATTGGAGAGAATTGAACATGCTCGCACCCCCTTATTCAATTTGCTAACGTCAACTAAACTACGATATTTGATTAGAACGATATTCGATTAGAAAGAGATTTAACTCGAAGACCATAAAATTAAGATCAAGTTTTGACATGAAGATCAAACTGTTCGTTTTAACAAAGGGAACTCAAGAGTTCAGATTTGTGAAAGACAAGATAACGAATTTTGTGAAAGAACACGAGGCAAGGGAAGGATCCGTTTACAAATTTTTTTTATAAATTTTTGTAAATTACATTATGTACTCCCGGGAGAACATAGTATAACTTATAAGGCGTTTGGTACAAGGTATTTTGTAAGATTCTCGGGAAACTGAATTTTTTTTTAAATTTTTAATTTTCGGATATTATCGTAAGCTGAATGTTTTCATCTTATTTTTTAAAAATTGAGATTTTCGAAATAAAAAAAAATTTCTCCTCTACCAAACGCCCCCTATTGTTCTCCCGAGATATATAGTGTAGTTTGTAAACAAAAAAATTTGTAAATATAATCCTCCCATATGAGCTAATCATAATGTAAAAATAAAAATCAGGAGATTATGTTTCAGCTTTATCTAAAAAAAATTGAGGATAATGGTTTTCTAACAATTGATTTTTTCATATGCTTGGATGGATTCAACTTAATTAATATTTTGTGGTGACATAAAAATAAGGTTATATATAGCTCACCTAAATGCAAAAGATCCAAATCCGATGGGCAGGGGTGAGTAGATTTGGATATCTCATTTTATATTTACTTACATAATTTTTTTCTCAGCAATGTCTTTATTATGTACATGAATATTTAGATTCAGATGTTATTGTATTTATTTATTAAGAATATGATTGTACTGATTTTAAAGAGAAAAAAACACCTAATTACCCATCATCTATTTATGGGTTATAATGTTCATACTTTATATCCATTATATATTATTATATAAATCCAATTTAACTAATTCAACCAATGCTTCATTAGTTGAATCAGTAATTTATCGCTTTGGTACCCCCACCATGTTAATATATAACTGTTCAGGTTGAATAACAATGAGTCATTGATAGAATCTAAATTTCGGATATCATTATTAATTAAAGAATTTAATTGATACATGTTAAAAAATTTAGATTATTATTCAATAATATATTAGCACTTTTTTTTAAGTTCGACCTTTTAATTAAGAGAAATATTAAAGTACTATGACAGTAACACTTTCAATTGTTAAGATTAGATTTAAAATTTAATTAATATTTTAAAATTATTTCAATAATCTATATACAATAATTATGTAGTTTAACGCATTGTGTTGCTATCTAATTGAGTGTAGTACAAGTATAAAAACTGCTCATCTTTTAGGTAACTGTTGTGACAGTTAAACTTCTTTAATGATTATGGAAACGTCAATCTCTCCTCTGAAATAAAAGGATATGGTCACGTCAGAATATCAAAATTATAAAAAGATAAATAACGGTTATGATTTTATAACTATTTATTATAATATTTTTTCTCTCTCTTCTTTTATTATCATTGATCCATCTTTGTGTGGTTATGATTCTCCACATGATCATGTCATGTTTTTTTTCGTATGAGAATGATTACCAAATAATTATAGCTCAGTTGGCGCAAGGAAACTGAGCAAGGTGGGGTGAAAGCATGTGCTCGATCTTTCCCAATATCATCTTTTGAAAGGATTTAAAGTCTTAATCGCGGGACCCACCCTGAATATGATTAAACGAAAAGCGATGAACCGATTGGAATATCTAAAAAAAAATTCCTTAATGATTTAACAATATATGATTAAACGAGAACATAAAGAAATTTTATATTGTCTATATATCAAAATTAAATACTAATCAAATCATATCTATCGCATTCATGGAGCAATATGTTATATAATTTTCTTAGCGATTAACTAACACACCACCACACGAATAGGTTCCCATGATGGAAAAGTTTGATTTAGAATTATAGTTTTATTAATGATTTTTAATTTGTAATATTCAAATGTCAAATCTCAAAACCATGATCATTGCCGGTGGCTTTTGAAATATATTGGTAGTAAATTATGCACTTAATTAATTACATATAAACTTGACCGATTTCTATTACATTCCTCACTTACAATTACAGTAAACGGTAAGATAAGATAATTTATTCCGAGAAGTTGCTAATGGAAATAAATTATACCAAACAAGAAGATGATCCCTTGAGACTGGCCATTTTTAAATACAATAATGTCCTTAAAAAATACATGATGATATAACATTGATATGTACGGTGGTTAATTAAACTTACTTTCTAGCTTGATTAGCAGCTGAGTTTGACATCACCTGTCGATATTCATCATTGAGTTATTATTTTTCAAAATGATCACCCCCTCTACGTCCGTATAGATAAAGCTCACAATCACAATAATAAAATTTTATATGCATTCATGTTGGACGATTGATAAGTTCTTGCGAGAAATATTATTTTTTATTATTAGATAAAATTTTATATTAGTATTAATTATTAACAAAGAGCGCATTTATATTATTTAGTAAGATTTCATGTGATAATGAAAAATATCAAAAAAATTAAAAAGCATATTACTTGCAATATTCCTTAATATTCTCTATATATGTTCATATTATAGTCTAAACGGATGCGATAAACTTCTGTTTCGTTCAATCCACGCACATTATAATCTGAACATTATTAATACGTAGATAATGCATGCAATTTGCATAAAACTTTACACGTTCGTCATTTCGAGGTGATCAACAAGTAAGTGGTGAGCGCATTTTAAAAAAGAAATAAGCAGATTTGGATGTGATGAAGCCATAAATGTCAGCTGTGATGTATACAAAACTAAATTTCTTTGTTTTTTAGCTGAATCCTTTATTAATTTCTAATTTATAACTTCGTCCAGCTTAAATGTTTGTATTCAATTATTCACTCAATCAGTTAGGTCAATGACGAACGTCCAGCTTTATGATCACCCCCCAAAAAGCGTCAATTGTGGTC